CTGTTACTGGCCTGCTTATAAGTGGGGCCCCCCCCCCCCACTTTGAAAAACGTTCCGCCGGCCCTGTACTACTACTACTATTGTAGAGTACAGTATCCGGTTGACCTACGTGACAAGCAATGTATTAAATGTGCTCCCCTTGGGATTCTTAGGCACCGTACTCCATCTTAGTAGGCATACCTTCCGTAAGAGCGATTACTACTTATGTTTCCGGCCCCTACACATGGTTTATTTCGTGAAAATAATCCAGTGGTGTCGATATTATTATTTAAGAAATATAGATAAACACCAAGAAAGAAAGAGACAAACGTATAATTAGGCGATTGTGGCCATGTCTTTAACTCTTTAGACATAATAATAGTGGAAGCCCAGCTCAAGTTCATTGGAATCCAAACTTTATTATTATACGCCCAAGATAACGCTTTCGGAAACATTATTTTGCCCAATAAAATATGTCTTACGTGTTTTACGTATTACCTGAGATATTGCCAAACGTTTGTCAGGAAGCAGCACATAAATCACACGTTTGCGGTTCTTAAAAGTGATCGTACTCTTGGTTTTCACGTAAAATTTAGATTAAGTTGTTTGTTTATTAAATTAAGGAAAAATTACATTATTATTTTAATTTTTTTTCTAAAGCTATATTATGTCTTTGTACAAAAAAAAAATGAAAATGAGATTTTGTATTTATTTTAAGAAGGAAAACGTTCATAACTCTTCTGTTTTCTTTTCAAATTTTCATTATTTATTTAATTTACTGGGTGGCTCTCATGCTTGCGACCTCTGGTCTTAATCAGAGTCTCCCAGATCCTACAATTTCAATTTTCTTTTATACTAATTTGTAACATTATGCTATATCTTATTATGTAGGATTGAATATTGAATAAAGTGATTTGTGATTGTGATTGTGATTACCGCGTTGCCATTTACATAACCAAATAAATAACCGTCATGACTAGCAAGAGTTGCTTTATACCGTATGTGACTGGCGTAATAATACAACCACATACCCTATACAAATACAACGAAGCACTTAGAATTTAAGGCAGTTAACTTGGAAGATGTACCACTTTTGCAGGTTCTTGCAATGCATTTGATATTCATTTGGACTGCATAGCCTATTATTCTTTTGCTTTTTTAGTTCTGTTTTGCCAGGGATCAGTGAACACTGTTCTCTGGTTTTGCAGCTTCTTTTTTTATGTTATGTTGGCCTCAGAATAGGTTAACTTTATAAAAAAAGATGGTTCATATTTCTTGGTATTTCGCATGACACTGAAAACATGTGTTTCCTACTTACCAATCATCAATGAACCGAAAAGAGCATTATTTTTGCCTACAGGGAAACTACTGTAACCCAAGCTTATATCTTCCCAGTTGACCGTTCAGTCTAGGCCTAAGGCCTAACACTCTTTCCAATGGTATCTTATGCATGAATACCTTTAGCTGTTTAGTTTATGTGACATTTTAACCGATACGGTAAATGTTGCTTTTTTTTTTTTTTTTTTTTTTTTTTTTTTTTTTTTTTGTTCTTTCAAATTTTTTTGATGTATTTTCAATCTTATGCAATTTAAGCTTTTTAAATTTTTTTTTTTTTTGCTTTCTGTTAACATGTTGTAGTGATCCAATTATTGCACTGATTGCTACTGATAGACTAGATATATAATATAAACAATGTGCTACGTTTTGAGTAAGCATACTAGTTATAATGCTTCTTAAATTACATTGCTTAATTTTATAATGGACAGAAAATATAGTAAAACATGCGGTGAACACACGTCTTGGTCGATATCCTTTCCCGCAATCTCTCCCTCACCCATATTAAACCAAACAGACGAAGTATCACCCTTTCCTCTCTTACGGTACGGTATCTCATTATCTCACACGGGTCTAACTGCTTATAACATGGCGGTATATATACCTTCATGCTTAGTAATATAAAACTATGTATTAATGTTATAATAAATTCCCGCACTGAAAATGGCCTTGTGCCGTGAATGTGCAGTCGCTTTTATTAATGTGCCTACTGAGGTAGAATGTTATTAAAACCGACAACCAGACATATTGCCCTAGAAATCAGCATTAGCAATGACATAGAAACAACCTCAAACTTTGAGTCCGGATGATGCTGACAAGCATCTTAGCCTACATACAGTACATACCTTTCGAACACCGTTATTAATACATATATTATGCATTTAAGTCTACAGTATATTCATAACGTTGTTTACTGTATTTATTTTTTTTTTGTAAAAAAAAAAACATAGGCCTATATGCCTATTCAAAGTATTCGAATAACCAGGCACTTAAATATTTCCCAACATATTCATTTCAAATTGTTAGATCGGAAGCTTAGCATAATTTAAACGAGACCGTCTGATAGCTCCACTTAGTCTGCTTGTAAATTTTCATCCTATGAAGATGTTAGCCTGTCGATACTGTTCACATAGCGTTTTGAGGGCAGAATTTGATAACGTTGGTCCATTATTCGTAGAAACTACAACTCCTACAGCGTTTACGATACCACGTGGTGTCGTAACGCCAAATTATAAATTAGTGTTCAGGTTACTGATATACTATTAACCTGTTTATTTAACATTTAATAAAAGGAAATATAATGTATACAGTAATCGACATGGTATTATTATATTATTTATTATTTTAGAAACACAAAAAGACAAATTAATAATCTCACGAGGTTGTCTTTGAAAACAGGACGAAAGCGGGCAGACGCTGTGACCGCTGGCTGTCACATACTAGCGTTCATGCAATAAACTATTGCAAAATCAAAACATAAACGAATGTTAAACATCGTACTAAAAGTTCAAACTATAGTATCAAACCTACCAAATAACCTTTTATTGGAAAAGTTCACATTCCAAAAAAGAAAAATATAGAAATATCATCAGTGCAAAAGCCTCACAAAAGAACAATTAAGTAATGAAGCTGATGAAGTCCACAGGAGTGAACGGAATATTCGTGTTCTAGTAAATTACAGGCCCTAATTTATTTCCAGTGCGTAGCATACAGAAGGAAACCAAATTAAATTTGTATATAGATATATTGGTAAATTGATGAAAAAGCGTAGGCAGTTGTTTGATCTTGTTTTTTGTAAAGGTGTGCTACCAGTAATTCAACATTCTTGTGTAATATGTTTCCCAATTTTCGTCAAAGGTTCCTCGTCCTTTATGCGTAGGCAAGACTTATTGTCATTCCCAAATGAGAATGACGTCCATAAAAATGGGTATATTAGTAGGCTCTGTATAATATTACATCAACCAACCAACAGTCGATACTTTCCACCAATCTAACAAAAGCTAAAAAGGTCATCTGATTATTATTTTGTCCTTGATCCTGGGTTTTACAATAATTTTACAATGTTTACGGTACTCTGTATTGTCCAAAATCTCAAAGCATTTGTTTTCATTCTAATTTAACATACAATGCAATTCGTAAGTTTAATATTTTAAGAAAATTCCATTTGTATAGATGTATTGGTAAATTCATGAAAAAGCGTAGGCAGTTGTTTGATCGGTTTTTGTTTTTTTTTGTTGTAAAGGTGTGCTACCTGTAATTCAACATTCTTGTGTAATATATTACCTAATTTTTGTCAATGGTTCCACGTCCTTTATGCGTAAGCAAGACTTAATTTTATTCCCAAATGTAGAGTGAACGTACATAAAAACGTACAAAAAAAATAGTAGGATTTAATAATAATATCACATAAACCAACTAACAGTCGATACTTTCCACCAATCGAACAAAAGCTAAACAGATCATCTGATCATTGGTTTGTCCTTGATCCTGGGCTTTCGATAATTTTGTAAGGTTACGGTATTTTAAATTGTTTAACATCTTCAAATATTTGTTTTCATTCCAATTCAACATACAATGCGTCTCATAAATTAAATATTTTAAACAAATCTCAATGTTGTAAAGTGCGCGGGAAAGGCCTAGTTTAATTAACACATGTTAAATTAAGACTCAATAAGTTATGCA